CCCCAGACGCACGTAAGTTCATTTGAGCAGCATACAGCATTTCATCGTTGGGTACAGTAAAACGTAATTCTTTAGTCCTTTGTCTCTTCGCCCGTTCGCTCAGGTCGCTGAATTGCTTTGGGGGCCGGCCACATAAACCACGGCTCGAGAAAGGCTCGCCATGAACATGATCAGATTGTTCTTTGTAATGGGCGTTCTGAAAAAAAATACAAATATTACCCAACTACTCAATCTATTGGCAGGTTTTTGGTAAAAAAAAAAAGTTTAAAAAGTTCTTACGTTAAACGTTGTTTTCACAGTAGCCCACTCTTCATTAGTTTTAATGAAATTTTCTACTGTTTGATGCGAGTTTTTCCACTTCTGCTTAATTTTATACAACACTGGTCCAATTTTGTTCTTTACTTCTGGATCAATCGTAAAATTTACTTCATACTTTTCCGAAATTTTTTTCCCCAAAATGCTCAGCATTGTATTTAAGTCCAAGTTTATATCGTTCTTTAAAAGCATCAGTATTTCTCCCCGAGTACACGAGACTTCGACAAGAGTTTTCTCGTAAGTAATAAGGGCATCTAATTTTTCCGAAAAAAATTTAAAAAAACACGTTGCTAAGTAGTATTTTAACAAGAAGCATGGGTGGCAACAAAAATCCGAGTCGAAGACGAGGATTTTTGCACCTGCACGAATGCATTTTGTTAAAAAATATTACTTGGCATTGTGTTTTTTCGATTTTTTTCACAGGAAAAATTAAATGCCCGAATGGTATTTGACAACAGCTGTCAAGGTGACAACAGCTGTCAAGTTTTGCCGCGGGTAAACTCGAAAAAACTGCTGACAGGTGCTGTCATATAGTTTTTCCACCTAGAAACCACTTGTAATTCAAAATTGCGCGTTTATGATTGGTAGAAATTAAGACGAGGAAAATAGTCTAAAATAAAAGTACAATATTATTATTATTAATAATATTATTACAGTGGCGCACTTATAAATATGTGAGTCAGTTTATGTGGGTTTTTGGTATTCTCTTTTTTGATTCTTGGATGGGGGAGCTCTTAGTGCGCCACTGATTGTATATTTATTTATTAACTACAACCTAGCCTAGTCAGATTTTGTCATAAACGTGCTAACAAAAAAGAAGTACTATGCAAGCGCTGCGCTGAACTGTACGGCTAAATTCACTGAATTCGAAAATTTTCTTGACGCAACGCGACAGATAGGAGGTTATATCGGCCTTCGGAAGGTTTCGGAAGCTAGTTTCGAAATATATTCATAAAAACACTATCAGAAACACATTTCGCTTTGAATTAGACTGGAGTCAGGTGGAGTTTTTTATTTCACCCTTACGTAAGGCTCAGTTCCTAGTTCTTTTATAACTAAAAAGCGTGAAGGTTTACAGCGCATTATCAAGTATCAAAGAGGCATCTAATATTAATATTAATATATCAAAATAATGTACATATCTTCAGGATTGGCCTCCATTTCGAATTGTTCCACCCACGCACTTACACGTTGAGCTATTCACACTTTTATTACGGCGACTTTTACACATAAAGGATGCAACGTACATTCCTTCTAGAATGGTGATCTTTAATTGGTGTACCCTGCAAGTTGCGCGCTTTATTATCCCGTTGATTTTCGAAATGTAGTAAGTGGAGCCTTCTCCATCGTATTGGCTATTCGCTAACTCGAAAGCATTTCTTGACTTATTGCCGATTTTTTGCGATTTGGTTACAGTGTGCAACGTTGCAACCTGCAATCCGAAAACATGACGCACACTTAAACCGGAATTTAGGGATTTACCGCGGCACAATAATTATAATTTAACGCTTAGATTAGACGTGCCCTCTGTGATTAGATGTTGTATTGAATATTTTATTCAAAGAAGAAGAATTTGTTAGTTATTGTGTAAATGGATCTAACGTGCCAAGAGGCTAATAAATAAAAAAATAGGTAATGCATGATTTTAATTTTAATACTAAAATAATGTAAAGAACCCCGCACAAAACTAATGGGAGTTTGGACTTCAATGAAAATATCTGAATTTTGGGTATGTTGTAGTTTATGATCTATTGATAAAAAGTTCTTCTGGTACTAAGAAAAAATATTGAACAGATTTCGAGCTATTGAGGTTGGAAGGTCACGAATCTGAGAGGATTTTTATGTAACAAAATACGTTCGAGGCTGGGAGATGAAACTTTAGACGCACTAATATTTTTGCGGTATTTTTTTAAAAATGTATAATCCTTTAAGTTCGTTTAAGAGTTTTTTTGTTAATTTTTCTTTTTTACAATAAAAGTTTTTGAATGTTATTTTTTTTGGAACATCCGGGATCCCGGGATTACGAAAACCTTTCGAGATTGACATCCCTAGTCTTAACCCTATATGTCACAATCGTTCTAAACATGTACGCTATCACTTTGTCGGAAAGGATATTGCCAATAAGTTAATAGGTTTAAAATGTATGCCTTAATAAAAGCACACTGTTTTGTAAAGCATAACAAGTTTACTATTGAATTAGGTTTAAGTTGTATAGATTAATATTGTTTCGATAATTGTTGATATTTTGTATCTAAAATATTAATGTAGGTTATATTTATCATGCAATCTCCCACACAGCAACCTACGTCCATTGTACGTCCATTAAATGTCCAAACTAAGTACATACGTCCATGGACTTTGAATGTACGTCCATGTAGTTTACGCTTTCCCATGTCCTTAGGATGTTCCAGAAGAACGTCCATAGGATATCCATGGATGGACACAAGATAAGAAACAACAAGATGGATGTTCAAAGTCTAACTTAGGACTCCTGCGGTCGATAACGGCTACCATACTAAATACATTTTACAAAAATATCAAACAAAACAATGACAATGACAGTTTGGTTAAATTAATTTACTCTATAGTAACTATAAATTTATTTAAAGAAACACCTCAGAAATACCAAGTTACGAATTAATCTTTATTAATAGGTTTGGTTTATATAAAAAAAAATGCCGGTCAGCAATAAAAAATTCGCGCCAAGCCGGCTCGACTCGATCAAAGGTAAAGTGATTGCATTTTTTAACAGCTTTATTTGATATTTCAAAATTTATAAACATATTCTTATAATTATAACATAACCACAATTATATTCTCCACTAAACTAGTGTACATAGAAAAAGGATAAAGGGTGTTCTACTTAATGTAGCCAATTATAAATTTGGGGTCCCTAAAATTTGCCAACTAAACCCCCAAATTTTTGACAAATTCCTAATCAAAAAAGTCAGTCATGATGCAAATCGGTAGTCAGTCAGTGATATTATTATTAAAGGCAATGTCATTGGATTATTTCAAAATGTTAAACACCAATATTTTTATACTTAAATTATTTGTTTAGTGTTAAATATAAAATAAAACTTAATTAATTCACTATAATACCAATATATTAGTTATGGGGCCCATATCAAACTTATATTAGTTTTTAATCACATTTAATAGAAAATTTGTGCGCAAGCAGAATTTAAATTGAAATTTATCAGCCCCCTACCCCCAAAATTAAGATTATTCAAAATAAAGTGGTGCAATTCATAATTCACTAAAGTTTATCGACAAAATTAAAAATTTGTTTTACAGTCTTACAGTTTTTATACCATTTTAAATTTTATAAAAATTAAAAATGGTATAAAATCTGTAATTCTTGGATTTTTATTTTGTTGTTAAACTTTAGTGAATTATGAATTGCACCACTTGAATAATCTTAATTGGGTGTAGGGGGCTGGTGAGGCGCGCTGAAAAACTAACTTTTCTTCGCAAACTTTAATATAAATTATGCTTGCGCAGAAATTGTCTATTCAATGTCATTATAAACTCATATATGTTTTATATGGGCTTCATGTCTATAGACATATCTCAGTTATTATAATAATCCCTTTTCTATGATAATAACTAAGATATTGGTATACCCAAAATCCACCAGCCGCCACTGTCTAAACCTTTTTTATCCTAAACCCTATATGTTTATAATTTGATTAGAATAAACAAATGTATACATAACTCAGAATAAACAAGTAAACCAAAATTTTTCTACAATTTTCGTTCCTAGACTCATTTTGACATCATATGGAAGTCCACTTCCAACGTACGTTGTATGTACATTTATTACATAACATGGACATCCTATAGTGTGCCAAAATTACGTTATATGTACGTACATGGAACGTCCATATAATATTCTTGGACATACTATGGATATCCATTTGTACAGAGATGGATGTCCTATGGACACCATATGAACGACTTTGTGCTCTATGGGCTATTGGCAATGTTTGTAATGTCTGTTGTTATTAACAACTTGTTAATTAAGAACTTAGTCAGTTTTTCCTGATGATGCTAAAACGAACCGTAGGGGTTTTATTTCATTCGCCTTATTAACAGTTTTTCCTCCCTAATTTAACAAGTATGGTATACAATTCGTTTTATAAACTTCTCAAGAAGACTCGTACGAAAGCTACGCGTATGCATAATTAAACTTATAATGTAAATGGCCTATATAAAACTTATTACTTACATAATATTTATTTTCTTTATTGGAAAATTTGAATTATTTATATTTTGTCTGCTTTATTACTTTTATCTGGGATAATTAAAAGATTAGAACAGTATGCAAATAATACATATACGTATAGGTATCCAGGAACAGAAAAAATGCGAATATAACATTTTATTTAAATACTACATTATTGTGTTGTTGGTTGGGCTAATTTACTTTAAGTTTATTATATGGGAATAAATAATATTTACTAATCAAGACGAAATTGACTATTAGTAACCGCCCAGTTGAAGGGAAAAATATGTAGGTATATTTAATATATTTTAAATATATTCATTTATTATAAATTCACAAAATTTGTGAATAATAATAATTATTATATCATATCATATACGTAATTTTAAATACAAATTTATTTTTATATATAAAAACATAGCCACGAATTCTAGGGCAAAAGATGTATCTTAACTACCTTTGTTTATTAACTTTGGTGTATCCTCGTTAACAATTGAGAGTGGGCTTTCCGTGATAGGTTCAGAAAGCTTTTTATCGACTTCATTTTTTTCTGTTCCATTTATTTCACCATTAATATTTTGATAAATAGTTACAGGGGCATAAAACTGCGTAACAGGCCCCACAATAACATCTTCGGATTCGGTGATATTAACAGAGGCTTTGTTCGGATCCAAGATTCCCTCTCGGCCGCAAATCTCTGCCAATTTGACAACCTCCAAATTATCGTCGTCGTCTCTCAAAATCACTTGGGTACATCCCTCGTCGATAGGGTACTCATGTTTACTTTTTACGTTTTTCATTAGTGCACATATTTTATTGCCGCCACTTTCATTTCAAATTTTGTACTCATAAAACACATAAACCATTAATTAATTCCAAACATCTTCCTTTGTCACTGCATAAAGTTATCTACTACTACTGATTGTTATTGCAAATAAACGCTGAACACACAAATGATTTAAATGGATAAAAGTGGGGAAATCCACGTTGTTTTATGTTTTTTAGTAAAATTTTAATCTTAATAATAATACAAGGTTCCGAGATGTATAATAAACATAATATTTTAAGCTGTCTCTTTTAAATTAAACATCGATTTATTTTGACTAAAATATATTTACTTAAAAAACAATTGTTTGATTTGGAAATAAATTAAAACCAAAATAAAAATAAAAGAAAATTTTTAATGGGATCGCCGATTTACTTGCAGTTTAATTAAATGGACTCTTCTGATCGCAAATTCCGCAATTTATTTTAATAGTCCCAGTGAAGACAGTTTTAAGGACCATTCCCAGCAGGGAGAAACAAAAATTGTTACATATATTTTCTATGAGGGTATTCACCTTCAGACATTACAGTGTAATGTCTATAGAGGTGAATAATTACACCAGTGCATTTTTTAACTTGTAAAGTGGGCGACATAAATGTAAAAATTTGTCGCTCAGTGAAATTAGAATTTGACCTTGTTGAGTGCGGTCCTGTTTATTTCCTGACGTCTGCCACATTAATACACGCTTAATTCGGTTTCATATAGATGCGAACTATTTTAGGGGCATTGTTTTCTCCCTAGGCGATATTTGGTTACTTAAATAGTAAAGTTAGTTAAAATGACTATAAAGATAAAATAAGTAACATTAATGTACCTCAAAAAACTCTTTGTCCATTATAAAAAAACAAAAAAAACTAAAACAATTATTTAAACAGTTTGAATAAAACTTAACAAACAAACACTACGAAACAAACATAAATGGAGTAGTTATGATAAGCAATTGCATTAATTTGCATGCAAAACGCATGCGCATTATGAGAAATTAGTGCGATTTTCGCAAAATATTGGATCAATCTCAAGATTTCCGCCCCCTAGATTCAAATCTTGCGAATTCGCAGGATCTGTCGAAACAACGAAACGCTTTTCCCGCCAAATGAAATGCACCAATGGGAGCATTTTTCGCATTTCGCAATTCGCATTTCGCATCTATATGAAACATGGTTATTGCGGTTTACAACAACTGCCGTTCATAATTTGAAACTATTACGGTTTTTCTCAATAAAATCAATAAAATAAAGTTGCGTCCGCTGTGGCTGCTAGTGAGATAATTATTATTAATACTGTAACGTTTTTACTATTTGTAGTGTGAATAAAAATACGCACTGGTTTAGTAACGAACTAAACTATTTATTTTTATAACCTAATTACACTTAAAACACTAATAAACTATAAAACTAACTTTATAAAGACTTAACTACTAATTATTTATATATCACTACTAGTTTATTTATTTGCACGTATATTTATTTATTTCGACGCGAGTACCAAAACTTGACTAACTCTCCATGATGCGTCGTTCCTTATATATTCCGAGATCCAGAGCCGTACTCGCTACAATACTAATACTCATTTAAAAATAGTGAGCACAGATAAAAGAAATGTTCTCCTTAGTTGCAACAAAAAGATCTGAACGGGCTTTTTCCTGCTATTTTAAAGAGTTTTAAAAGATGCCATCAACAGGCTGTACATTATCCTTAATACTGCAGGGACCGCCCACTTTGATCCTAGACCGGCATGCCGCGGCAGTGGCAAAAAGATGCGGAATAGAGAATTTATAAAAAAGTTTTTTGACACTGGCTGATTGTAATAATGTTTTTTAATAAGGGTAGGTATTATAATTGAAAATTATTTTCCTTTTATTAAGTGGGGTAATATTCTTCACATAACATTAAATCTGGTTAGGTTCAAAATACTTTGTCGCCCAGTGACTGGGGTCTTAAAATATGCACTGCATTACACACGCACAGATTACTCTACACAAGTGTGTTTAATCTTGTTCATGGCCAGGAAAATAGTGCTTTTTCTCCCGCGAATAGTTGGATTAAATATATATAATATATATATAATTTAAATATTCAAGGGAGGAAACGCATTTTCCTCCTAAGGTATGTATATAGTTTTTCTATTACCTTTTAACGGTTTCTAAGCGTTCCGGTTCCTTTACTAACCCGGTATGGGGTTATAATATTATGACAAAATATTAAGTCGCCGACGTTATGTTGACAACGCTTTGTTGATATGGTATATTTGGTAATAAAAACATAACAGTTGTTATAAGCTGTCAGGTTATCATTTATTTGAAATTCTTCCTACGTTTTGAGGAAGGAGATTAATTGCAACTATTCTTGCCTCTTCAGCAAGATCTTGCGGCAGGTCTTCTTCGCTAGAAGTCATTTTTAAAACGTCGGAAGAATTTCCTACAATAGTCATGTATTTTTTTGCAACTGAATTTTGACACTGCTAAAACATTTGTTATAAGCAATAAACTAAACTAAACAAAGAATGGTTGCACAAGCGCGGAGTAAATATTTTTCCTACAAAATCAAATAGGTAATGTAAAATTGTTAAAAAAAATAGAGGGTGGAAATTTTTTTTCCTCCCTCGCTCGGGGGTGGAAAATTAAGTTTTCCAGTGAAGTAGTAAAAAAAATAGCTATTTACATCCCATGGGAGGAAAATAGTGCTTTTCCTCCTGAGGTATATATATATAGTTTTTTCTATTGCTTTTTAACGGGTTTAAGACATTTTAAGCGTTCCGGTTCCTTTTACTAACCCGGTATGGGGCTATAAAATTATGACAAAATATTAAGTAGGTGTTGCGTCGCCGACGTTATGTTGACAACGCTTTGTTGCTATGGTATTTTTGGTAATTCAAACATAAGAGTTTTTATAAGCTGTCAGAATGTTTATCATAAATTTTAAATTCTTCCTACGTTTTGAAAATGAGTTCTAGCGAAGAAGACCTGCCGCAAGATCTTGCTAAAAAGGCAAGAATGGTTGCAATTAATTTCCTTCCTTAAAAATCGAAAAAGCGATATGAAAATGAATATAGTTTGTTAAAAGAATGGTTGGACAAGCGCGGAGTAAATCTTTTTCCTACAAAATCAAATACGGCTAGACAAGGTACAAAAACTCTTGATAACTAAAATTGTTAAAAAAAAGAGGGAGGAAATTTTTTTCCTCCCTCGCTCGGGGGTGGAAGATTAAGTTTTCTAGTAAGAAGGTAGAAAAAATATTTTTTTTATTTATTTTTTCTACTACCTTACTAGAAAACTTAATTTTCCATCCCCAAGCGAGGGAGGAAAATGCCACTTTTCCTCCCCGGGAGGAAAACATTTTTCCTCCCTCTTCTTTTTTAACAATTAAAGGGCTTATTGGAAAAACGTGACAAGCCACGCTTTTTCAAAAAACAACATTTTTGCTTTGTAGCATTAAGCAATAGTATTACAAGCCACTTAACAAAGGTTTTTGCATTTCTCTAAAAGATGGCGCTGTTGTTAGTATAATCATCTTATAACATTCTACAAATTGGGGTAAAAAATTACACATAATGTGACAAGTCACACTAAGATGGCCGCCAGCAATGTGAGAGTACCGGATAAAATAATGGATTGTGATGAAAGTACCAGCTGTAGTGACGAGTTTGAAGATTCATGTGATGATAGTGTTGCCGACAAGGATTATGCATTAAGTGACAACGATGAAAGTTCAGAAAACAGTGAAGTACCTATGTATTTTTAAAGTTTTTGTGGCTTGTCATGTTCTTCCAAAAAATATTTATTTTATTTTGAACTGAGGCTTGTCACCCTATTGCAGGTTACTCATATTGCTTATCATTTTATTGCGATATATTTTCAGAGGGAAGATTTTTCTACTGAATCCGAAAATGAACTAGCAAGTTTAGCATCCAAATCGCGGCGATCTACTGAGAAATCACCTGAAAAACCTCCAAAATCTCGTTGGAGACAAAAAAGAGAAGCCAGTTACCAAAGAGTAAAGAGCAAGAGAAGGCGTAATTTGGGTCAGGAATACTTAATGCGTAAAAAGCAAGAATGTCATCAAAGCACGCCAGTTGGGACCCCCTTGTCATTGCAAAAATATATGTAGAGAAAAATTAGACAACACATATGAAGCTATTTTTCACAAATTTTTGGATTTGGGATCATTCGATTTGCAAAACAGTTATCTTTTTGGCTGCATTCGTATTCATAAAAAGAAAAGGTCCTACAAAAAGAAACAAAAACGGCAAGAATCTAGTAGAACCTTTAATGCAGAGTACACTGTTAATATTAACGGCAAAGATGTACAAATATGTAAAGTGGAGTTCATGAGTATACATGGGATCCAAAATTCCCGAGGCCGAATTAACCGTGTGGTTAAAATGAAAGCACAGGGGTCTTCTGTTCCAGAACCGGATAGACGGGGCAAACATGCAAATAGGCCACTTAAACTTACAGATGAACAAAAACAATCGGTTAGAAGACACATTGACTTAATTCCCAAATATCAGAGCCACTACAGTAGGGCTGACAACATGGCTAAAATGTATCTTAACTGCGATATGACAATAGCACATTTGTACAAAAAATTTTATGTTCCGTGGTGTGAAGAGCAAAATATTGTTCCAGTAAAAGAATACGCCTATCGCAAAATTTTTTGCACGGAATATAATATCGGCTTTAAGTTGCCAAAATCAGATACCTGCAAAACGTGTGATGAAACTAACATCAAATTAGAGACCGCTATAAGGAACAATGACGATGAACAACGTACAATATTGTCAACAACCCTAAACCTACATAATTTAAGAGCTAAGGCAATGCAAGATCTATTAAAATCGCTTCGCGTCGGGCATCAAACTATTCGCGGGAGGAAAAGCACTAGTTTCCTCCCATGGTATGTAAATAGCTATTGCGACCCCCTAGCCTGTATTAATTTTATTATAAGTATTACAAAAATTAAATCCGTTCAACAT